TAACATTATAATTTGTAAGTCCATCAAGTTTCACATGCTTTGTTTAAAGGAGAACTGAATTGCAAACTTTGAAAAATTTTAAAATTAACAGAGTCATGGTTGGTAGGGACAGTTGTCCCTACTTTTGTTCGCAAATATAAACATTTTCAAATTTCTAAAGTTCAGCTCTCCTTTATAAAAAGCATGTCAAAGTCGATAAACTCACTAATTTTGCTGTTATTCTTCTTCTGATCAAGTATACCTTTGAGTGGACCATTTTTTGTAACTCGTTACCAGTCCTCTACTCGTTTCTAAAAAGGCAAATTGAATAAAACAAAACGAAAACAGGGAGTTATTCAATTCTCGATTCGTCATATTTAGCAAAGTTTTCGATATAAGAGCTTGGGAGGATGCTTCGTTGCCAATTCTTATATTTCGCTCGTTACACCAGTCTTCGAACATCTTTATGGCCCATGCGTCTTTATATAAAGTCGATTTTGGAATGGACTGCTTATCGAGCTGMGACCTCGCTTGCTTTCATAGGCTCTCCAAACCTAAACTCTCAATTCGTTCTTTTTCCTCGTCATTTGGTTGAATTTGGTTAAGAGCATCACCTCCAAGCAGGTCATGCAGATTATCCACCGTGAAGTTTGATAAAGTTTGACTCGATCGCGAAGAACATTGTGGCGTGATAAACATTTCCCAATCTTCATCTTCAGATTCAGCCATCTTTGCTCAAACTACGGCTTACATAAAGAAACTGAATTCATAATCAATCTATTAAGGTTTTTAACCATTCCCAAGAGTAAATAAAAAAATGAATGAATGCATAACAAAAAAGACTTCACTTGAAAGACATATATGTTAATAAACAATCGATAATTCGAAAATCATATTGAAACAATAGAATTGGGGCGTGCATACTGTTTTCTAAACCGACTCAAAGCTGCGTGCTCTCAATAATATTGAAATGATTCTATTTGACAGTCTCTTTAATGAGATGTTGTTTATCAGAGACCTATAGCTATCCTTAAACACACAATCGGACTCTAATCGTTCAAGAATGCTTCGAACAATACGCTATGTATTCCCAATAGTGTTGTAACATGTTTACTACAAGCTAGATCCAACAAGTTATACGTTTAAAATGGCGCCTGAAAAGGCCGAAACGTCGAGAAAATAGGTATGACAAACCGTACTCGGTGCACCAAAATTGTAATAATTTTGCTGGTATTTTTGTTTATAAGCATGACAAATAGCGAATGCCTATTAAAGATTTTTAATTATTCCCTGGAGTGAATAACAAATTTTATGTATCAAAAAAGGACTATCCATTAAAAAAACAAGCTTTGGTGAAACAATCAATTAATTCAAAATGTCTTCCATTAAAACAATAGAATTGGGGCGTGACTGGTTTCTAAGGAATGCTATTTCAGGTTCTATGTTTAAAGCCGCTCGGGCTGAGCACGGACACTGAATGTTGTTTTCAGGTGCTATGTTTGGCGTGTCTGTAGTTTATACACTTCAGTCGAAATTCTTTAGAGCTCTTTTGGGTGAGGCATGTGTATGGAGTGTTATTTCAGGTTCTATGGTTTGGCGAGACTGTATAACTGCAGAGATTCCGTGAAGTCGCTCGGGCTGAGCACGGACATTG